TAAGCCCTAAACCCAAAAAAAAAACCCTAAACCCTAAACCCTAAACCCTAAGCCCTAAACCCCAAAAAAATCCCTAAACCCTAAACCCTAAACCCTAAGCCCTAAACCCTAAAAAAAAAAACCTAAACCCTAAACCGTTGTTTTTGCAACCTGAAGTCTCTGTTCTCGCGGAGTTCCGTGGACTGGGAGGCAAAGCTGTGAGTGCAGACATATAGGTGAGATGAGACCTTCCTCGAGACAAGATGTGCAGACACTTTAGGGTTTAGGTAGGGTTTAGGGTTTAGGGTTTAAGGTTTAGGGGTTAGGGTTTAGGGTTTAGGGACATACACTTCTTGATACTTTCAGTTGCAGAGAGAGCTCCCCTATGCATGTGTGCATACTTGAGACCAACAGTGTCTCAACAGGACATACTGATTTCCGCTCTTGCTGCTTGCTTGTCCTGTCGGCAAGAGACATGTGTGTTGCCTCCACACATCAATGTCCCCATGCCCAGGATATTTGCCAGCACTGGACGATTTAGACCCAGAGAACCCAAAACCCCTTAATTAAGCATGCCTTAAATGACAGGAGCATTAATATTATGATTTAAGGCAGATTCCTTAATCAAGGGGTATTGGGTTCTCTGGGGAAGGTTGAAGCCCTAGTCTGGTACGAACAGGTACGAACGACTGACGGGAGACCTCGGCTAGAAGCATCATGTCGATGGGCCTGAGTAGTTGCTAGTAATACTTCCGTATAGTCTGTAGACAAGTATAGTATATACTATCCCCGAATAGTCGCTGTATGTATATATATATATATATACACACATACGCATGCACATATGCGTTCTTGGCATTTTTACAGAATGTCGGGCATCAACACTTAGTCACCGGCCAGTGAATCGATGCATCGCTGCATGAATGCATGCAAAACAACTACAAGCGAGCTCACGGGCAGGCAGTTTCCCTGCTAGACAGATATAACGATTTGGGTAGATGAGTCTAGGCTTCGGAATTCAGTGTTCACGCTTGCGCAATCTACCGCCACAATTGATCTCTCCGGCCATGTTGTGGACCTGGTATACCCCGAGAACACAACTCTTTTTCTTGTCCAGGACCCTGTAACATGCTATAGACATATGGACGGATGGGCGGATGGAGGGAGGGAGGGACGGAGGGAGGGACGCACGGACGGACGGACGGATGGATGGATGAATGGCTAGCTAGGTAGCTAGGTAGCTAGCTAGCTAGCTAGCTGGGTAGATAGGTAGATAGATAGATGGATAGATAGACAGATCGATAGATAGACGCCTGTAGCTGGCAGCGCGCCGCAAAGATCCCGGCCGCAAGGGGAGCAAATGTAGCCGCGCGGCCTGCTCCTCCACTTCGAGCCGATTCACAGTCAGGGTACTGTAGGGGCCTCAATAATTAGAATAGGGTTTTGGGGTATGTTGTACTCTAATTATAATCAGGAACCCACAAAAAATAGTGTAGGTGATTATTAAAGCTGCCTGTGTTATGGCAGTTATCAGCTTCTGGTTGCGGGTTATATATGACTTATTAAATCTCGAGTGTAAAGATGGGGTCCCAGGTCAAATGCTCAAGGTTTAAGGCTTAAGTTGAGTGTAGGGTTTAGGGTCTAGGGTTTAGGGTTGAGGGTTCAGGGTTTAGGGTTTAGGGTTTTGGGTTTAGGGTATCGGCATTCGGCAGTGTCCGGAACACACGGTTTAGGATGTCGGGGGTCGGGTTTGGGGTTTGGCATTCCAGCCCAGCGCTAAGCGGTTCAGGTTTAAGATAGTGGGAGGCTGGGTATGTGTGGGCTGAATTTTCAACAACGGGCCATGAGGCGACCATCTTCATAGTACTGGCTATAGATCAAAGATTCAGGGTTGAGGATTCAAGGTAGAGCGTCTTTTGCGTTGTCCCTGCTAGTTCTGGGGGAGCAGGTGAGCTGCACATGCTGTGGCAACCGGAAGAAGTTCGTGGACCTGGATTCTTTCATGCATTTGTTTCGCCATCACTGCAATACGACTCTCATACATACCTCCGAAAACTAAGCCAGGAAAAACAAACATGGCCGTCCATCAACTACGACACCTTCGTTCCGACCACAGGATACCACAGGGGGAAGTAGACAGGGCAATGCCTGTTGGAGTCAAAGGCGCTTCCTAGGGCCAGGGTTTAGGGTTTAAATTGCTCAGAGATGTTTGCTGCCTCAGGGTTTGGCGTTGTCTTCCATGTCGAGAGTATCGAGTTGACCCCACATCGCAGATAACCCTAAACCCTAAACCCTAAACCCTAAACCCTAAACCCTAAACCTTAAAATCTGAACCCTAAGCACTAAAGGCCGAAGCAATGGCACCTAGGGTGCAAGGAGCACAGAGGGGTGGGATCCCAGGCCTCGTCTTTTTGAGGCGAGTTTTGGGGTTGAGGGGTTGAAGGCAAGTTGAGGGTTTAGAGTTTTAGGGTTTAGGGTTGAGGGTTTAGAGTTTTAGGGTTTAGGGTTTAGGGTTTAAGGTTAGGGTTTAGGGTTTAGGGTTTAGAGTTTTAGGGTTTAGGGTTTTGGGGCGTTTAGGTTTTAGGGTTTAGGGCCTGGTGTAGGCTAGGGCGGCTAGGGTATTAAGGCCATCCTAATCATTAGGGTTTAGAGACCGGCCGATTGCGGGTTTTTTTCGGGTGTGAAATGCCGTTCCTGTGCCTTCACATGAAGGGCTGTATAACACAACCTCGCTCAAAAGCGAAATTCATTCGCTCGTTCCTGACACTTTATGGGAAAGCCCTAATCAAATTCCAAACCCTCATGCAAGCCTAAACCCTCAACCCTAAACCCTCAACCCTGAACCCCAAACTCAAAATCCTCAACCCTGAACCCCAAACCCTAAACCCTCGACCCTAAAACCCTCAACCCTGAACCCTCAACCCTCAACCTTAAACCCTCAACCCTGAACCCCAAACCCTGAACCCAAATCCTACACCATGAACCCTAAGCCGAATGCCTTGAGCATGAGCTCCTTCGGAAGGTTGCTCAAGGTCGCCAAAATCTCCGAACTCAGCTCATCCTCCCTGCGCGCCTTGGTTGAAGAGCAGCTCGGATTTCGTTTTCAGGGTTTAGGGTTTCGGGTACTTCATAAACCCTAAACCCTAAGCCCTGAACCCTGAACCCTAAACCCTTAACCCTAAACCCTGAACCCCAAAACCTAAACCTTAAACCCAGTTTCAGAGGATTTTATTTACTAGTCTTGTCGAAAGGCGTCACTGGGCCAACCTTACAGTCATCGACATGGTTTAGGGTCTAGGGGCTTTAGGGTTCAGGGTTTGGG